TCCTGCTGAGGTCTTTTTTCCAAACCTCGTTTAGATTTATATGCATTTTTTAAATTGTCATCTGTGCTTTCCTGATACTAGCCCACCTAATGATCACTTGTGTCAACTTCCAAAAGTGGCAGACCCAGTAATACCTGCAAAGAGCAACTCCCAACAGTCCTATTTCTGGCATTCATCCCAGAAGCCACATACTGTTCATGCTGAACAGCCTGCAGCAACCAGAGACAGTATTTTTCCTCCTTCTTTCATTTGATTTGAAGCAAATGTAGATCGGAACTGTCAGGACTGATCAAAACTATGTTATTTCCAAGGACTGCCTGCTAACTGGCCCTGGGGACTCCAAAAACAGAAGAGGCATATGAGTTTGATAGATCTAGTTTGTGAACTTCCTGGTAGTTGGAAGCAGATTATTTTTCTTCAAAGTTTTTCCTGATTATTTTTGGTTTACTACTAAAAATTAGCACTACTGCTGAACAAAAAATGCAGGGTAAATCTTGTTACACAGGTTTTCCTGGGTTGTTGCCTGACTGCCTTCCTTTAATTTTAAGTGAAGGGACTCAACCACCAGTATTTGGTTGGCATCAAAGAACCAACACATGAATTTAAGACCAGGCTGAAGTCTCTAGGTGGTAGTTGCCTCAAATGACTGTGTGTCTGGTCTCTGCTCAGGAGCTCCAAGCACTGGCCCTGGCTCAGTTACTCAATAACGTTCCTCCTCATCATCCATGCCTGTCAAGTTCCACTGGGAACTTTACCAACAGAACGAACGACAGCTCCTGTTTACTACCCCAAAAAATAAGCAACTTAAAGGCATTACAGGCCTGTGGACAGGACTGCTAGATAGCAATTCCAGGCAGTCCTGCCTCTTCCTTTCTCTAACATCCAGTTTAAAATTAGACAGACATTGTTAAAAGCCTGAGTCTAATAGTTCCACCTCATTACTGATGCTGCAATAAGACCTCGAAAGACTCCTGGTTCTTATAAAACTTTTCACCTTACCAGCTTGTGGAGCTTCTGGAAGGCGGATCTCAACAAGCAGACAGAAACGAATGCACTCAAGTCAATTTTCAGAATAAGGGAAGAAAATGAGAACACTTCTCTGGCACTGTACACTGCATAGCAGAGCTAAGAATCCAAGAATTCCAGTAGCTCCTTGTCCTGCCCTCTACACAACACCATGCTGCCTTCTACTTGCACACAAAGGAAGAGCAAATAATTCAAAACACAGTGTGACCTTCACAAAACTGGAAGCTAGAGGTGCTTTCTGAGCGCCCAAGATTGTTCTTGTTTGAGCAGCGGCCCACCCTTCAGAAAAGCAAAGAATACTGGTTTCAATGTTTGTAGCAGGGTGCCTAACCCTTGTTACTCTCTGGGCAGACTAAAAAATCACCTCCTTCCTCACGTGCATGGAACTCAATGCTTTTTACAGGCACTGCTGTTCCCAGTTTTTCAGCATCCCATTTAAACTGCCAATACCAACACTGAGAGTGTTCCTGTAAAACAGAGTGTTCCTACACAAGTTTCACCTATGCCAAATACAAGTGTAATAGAAATTCCTCACTTCCACTTGATGATACCAGTGAGCATTACACCCGCCACACAAAGTTGTGTTAGGAAGTAGTGTTCAAGCGATAATGTACACTGATGCTCATACTCTTTCAGCAGCACTTTTCTTCCAAATCAAAAGTCCTCCACCTGTGGCCCGAATGTTATTTATTAGGTGGGTAACGTTACACTACACATTTGGCTCTATTAAAATGCAAATAGTTAAGCAAACTATTTGCTTGCCTTTGGCTTACCAAGTAATTCTGATCAGTCTGTATCAGTGAGCTGCTCCTTTCGTAATTCTCAAGTCTGATCTCCCTTCTGCACTCCTAACTTGCAGCCTTTGTTAGAAACAGATTTTATTTCTTTTTAAACTATTAGTAAGGCTAAGTAGAGCAAGGCCAAGAGCTGGTGGCTGGAAGATCCTGATGGAAATACACTCAGTTAAGCACCATTTAAAATTAAATTGAGACCTATGAGTTAGCCACATTTTAATCCATTTAATGTGTGCCATGTTGATTTTTGTATTGTTTTAGTTTTCAGTCAAAATATTACGCAGTACCAGTCAAATGCCTTACACAGTCTAAGTATATATGACAACAATATTACCTGTGTCAACCAGGCCTGTCACTTCAAACAAACATACCAAGCTTAAAGGTTTATACTTATCTGCTCTGAATTCACATATCCACAGCAAAAGTAACAAACACTGGCCAGGCTCCTTACACAGGAAGGCACACCAGTCAGCTTAAATGGACTCTTTTTTAATTCACTCATTTAGAGGCAATTGTCATTATTTTCTTGGGGGGGCAGGGGAGGGAAACGCCAATGCACCACATTGTTTTCACTAGCCTGGAAGAGAAAACACTTATATATATAGATATATAGATATATAGATATGTATATATATACACACATATGCATGTGTGTGTATATATATATACGCGTGTGTGTACATATGTATATATACACGCTAGTGTATATATACACAGAATATACATATATGAATATACAGAATATATGCACACACACTTTGCTCAGATTTGTTTACAAAATATGTAGCATTTTTATACCATCCAATAAGAGGTACATGATTTTAAACAAATCTTATAGAAATGACATGTTATTGGAAATTTACACGTAAAAAAATCCAGCACAAAAAAATCCAAAAGCTAAAACAAGATTTTGCTACTAATCAGTGCTTCTATCACCCTTCAAGAAAAGAGAAACACAGTTATTTATATGTGATGTAAAGGCAACATTGAGGGGTTTTTTTGCTTTTTTTTTTTTTTAAATTAACCACCAAATTTAACCCCTAAAATTACAAAGAATCGAAGTCCATTTACAGATCAAGTGCAGTAAACTAAATGTTCCTTCAGCACAAAGCAGCACTAGAGAAAATAACCAGGAGAAGGAAGGTGGAGGCCAATCGGCTTAGCTAGGGAGGCAGCAGGTGACTTCTGCAGTGGCCACACAGGTCAGTCTCCATCCTGAAGCACAGGCAGAACTGAAGACTGTATTTAAATAATGGTCACACAAAGCTGATGTTCAGGCCTTTGCCTAGCTTCTCTCAGCAGTTTGACAAGTGATTCGTGTATCTGTATCACTCCGTATCCGATGGGCTGGTTTTTGATTTTGAAGTGGCTTGTCACCGGGAGGAGTCACAGGAGGATCTTGCAGATAGTTCT